GACTGGCTGGAAGTCCACTTTTGGCATTGAAAAATAGGTATTTGACCCCAATTTTTTTGAGTATTTCCCTCCCCCTTCCAGCATGCATCCCCTTTTTTCTACTAGAAATAATCTAGAAGCAAACTTCCACATCCTTTCCTCTTGGAAAAAGAAATATTTCCCTGGATCTAAAATGATCCATAGAGGACCAAAAAAAATTGGTGACATTCCCCCTATCCTCACCTGGGATTGTTAGGAGGCTTTTTGGGACAAATACCTGTATTTTTTGTGGTGGATGCAGCCCCCCAAGTTAACCTAGAGGGCCAGTGTACCCCCAACCCCCTCATATTTGCTCATCCTGATATAGATATTTTGAGCATATGCTCCAGTTGTAAAGAGCAGCAAGAGAGTATGAACAGACCATGGGGGAGTCAGAGGAACAAAGCATTGTGGGAAGCACACATCGAGGTCAGCTTTGGGAAGAATTCTAAAGGAAAAGAAAAAGTAGACTGAGAGAGGAAAAGGGTCATGATTTTAGGTAGAATTCTTCCTGGCCAGCTTTTATAGTCTTGTTTGCTACTGAGGAGAAGCTGCTCCCCTGATGGCGCAGGATTTCTTCTGTAGAGCATAGACTGAGATGGTGTCCAGAAGCCATGATGCAACGGGTCACAGCAGGGCAAGTTATGTTTTCAGCACCAAGGGAGTCATTTGCCTTTTATAGATGATAATTGGCTCAGTTGTGATGTGTGCATGAATCCCTTTTCTCCTTCCTTCCCCCCATGCCAATAAGTAGAGGTACACTGTTTTTTGTTTTTCTTAAATGTACAGTAGGAAAGCAAGCCAGGTTTTATGAAATACCAGTAATTTTTGTAGGATGCATGTGTTTGACAGTAGAACAGCTGTTCTGGAAGCTTGTGGATTCTCCTTCATTGGAGGTTTTTAAACTGATGATGGATAGTCATTTCTCAGGAGTGCTTTAGCTGTGCATTCTGGCATTGTAGAGGGCTGGATTAGATGCCTCTGGAGATTCCTTCCAAGTCTGTGCTTCTATGACTCTATATTTTCCTTCTGAATCAGGAGAGTCAGTTACTTATACACCCTCATGCACACCAACTTTTATTTCATTTTCTGTTCTGTTATCTACATCATGCCTTTCTCCCAGTATTTCTCTGGTACACATTCCGTAAAAATATAGAAATAAGAAAAATTACATTTAGCTAAGTTTCAAATCCAATTGCCAAGGAACAAAGCCTCAGGTGGCTGATGAGCTTGTGTTAGTGTTAATAAGCTTGTACTGTCATCCCTCCAGATTTGCTGACTTCCTGTTTGTGGTTTTGAATTTCCATGGATGGGAAGCCAGGCGGGACAAAATGTTGTCTATACGTGTGGAGCTGTGCGGCCATTAAAAACAATGGGGCTCCAGTATTTGCGGTTTTTCTGATTCGCGGGGTGTGTTGGTGTCCGGAATGGATCCCCTGCGAATCGGGACGACTGTATTAGATTAGACTATGAATACATTATGTTATTACTTAGACTCATTAAATTAGTTGTTGAGTGGTGAGTCAACACATAGGTAAATACAGTTGGTTCAATGGCTTTACTCTAGTTGGGACTATCAGTAGGGTTTAGTAGGGCTCTAAAACAGCCTACAGCAGCAAGTAAATTCCCAGAGGCAGAACACAGCTCTGGGGTGGCTGTGAAAAAGGGTAGTTTCTAGGCCATGTAATGGTAAATTTTCTTCCCATGATTGAAATCTGTACTCATTGGGGCTTTGGACAGCAGTGGAAGAGCAGGTGAAACAGACTGGAAGTGCCTTTGGGCCATTCTCACACTCAAGTGCCATCTTCATCTCAGGCTTTTGGATGCAAGAGAGTCTGAGGAGGAGACAGTGGCTCTTCCTGTTAGGCTGATAATGAGAGGGGCTGGGGCAGAGTGAGACGTTTTGCTCCCACTGATTGTCTCCCCAGTGGTTCCGAGGCCCTGAACAAGCACACTGTCAATGCCTCAAAACTCTCAGTTTCTGCAGAGGACCTCTAATTAATCCATCTGGAAACAAGGAAGAGTTGATGATGCTGAGGCAGAGCTTAGCATCCCCTGGGGACCTTCCATACTACACAATTATAGTGCTATGCTTTTTCACTACATAGTTATAGCATCATGTTTCTAGGGAGGTTTATTGAGAATTCCCAGCCAGCAGGAAATGATGGATGCCACTTCCTGTGGCCATTTTGAGAGGGACTGCTGAAGAAAATTGAGATATTTGGGGGCAATTTGAGGGTCTAGTGAGAGCCAGTGTGGCATAGTGGTTTGAGTGTTGGGCTACGACTGTGGAGCCCAGGGTTCGATTCCCTGCTGTGCCAGGAAACCCACTGGGTGACCTTGGGCATGACACATGATTTTAGCTTTGTGGGAAGGCAATGGCAAACCTCCTTTGAACAGATCTTACCAAGAAAACCCCATGATAGGTTTACCTTAGGGTGGTCAGAAGTCAGAAATGACTTGAAGGCACACAACAACAACAATAATGGGGCTCTACGGTGCTGTGGGAACAGGGGTATTTTCTTGTTTTACATGTTTGGGGGGATTTCTTGGGTTTCAGGCAAAATTTAACCAAAAATCACGCCATTTTTAAAAAAATTGTCTGGTATTCCCCAGTTAAGAAAGGAAGATGCAATTTTGGCAATCCCATGGATGAAAGGTTGCCAGGATTCAAAGGAAGCCATTTCTTCCTGTTGTGATGGGATTTACAGGTTAGATTTGATAGCAAGTCTTAGTACATCAGTTTTCTTTCAGTGGTGTCCCTTCACTCACAAGCTGTTTTGAACTCTAGTGTGTTTACAAGCATTCTTTTGGTGAAATATCTCAAGTGAGAATCTGACAACTCATAGAAAAGGAGATTTCTTCAAACCACTACTACTACTACTACTACTACTACTATTTATTTCTTACCCACCTTTCCCCATGGATTGAGGCAGGGAACAGCAACAAATAAACAATGCACAACATCAATTAAAATACATTCATTAAAACAAACAACAGTTTAAAAGGACAAATAAGACATAAACATTCTAAAACGATCCACATTTAAAATTCATAGTTTAAAAATCATCTGGATAAGCCTGCTGGAAAAGAGTGGTCTTCAATGCTGTTTTAAATCTGTTCAATTTGTATGCAGAACATATTATAAGAAAAGCAGGCTTGGACACAGAAGAAGGAGGAGTGAAAATAGGAGAAAGGAATATCAACAATCTGAGATAGGCAGATGACACCATAATACTAGTAGAAAACCTCACAGACCTGGAACACCTACTAAGGAAAATCCAAGAAGAAGGTGCAAAGGCAGGCTTAATGTTGAACATAAAGAAAACAAAAATCATGACCTCCGAGGACCTTCACAAGTTCAACCGAGACAATGAAGAAATAGAAATACGGTAGTAAAAGAATTCCCATCCCTGGGATTAAACATTGATAGAAATGGGGACTGCAGTCAGGAAATCAGAAGAAGATTAAGAATGGAGAGGGTGGCTGTGAAAGAACTAGAAGGGATTCTAAAATGCAAAGATATACAACTCAGAACCAAAATTAGAATCATACAAGCCATTGTATTCCCTGTTACTATGGATGGATGTGAGAGCTGGACAGTTAAGAAAGAAGATAGGAAGAAAATCAATTCCTTTGAGATGTGGGGCTGGAGAAGAGTGCTGAGGATCCCATGGACAGACGAAAGGACAAACAAATGGCTCCTAGAGCAGATCAAGCTGGAAACGTCCTGGAAGCCAAGATGACCAAACTGAGGCTGTCGTACTTTGGACACATCATGAGAAGAGAGGACTCACTGGAAAAAACAATACTGCTGGGAAAGGTGGAGGGAAGTAGGAAGAGAGGAAGGCCAAATGAATGGACTCTATTAAGGAGGTCACGAGTATTAAGGGGTTGCAGGAATTAAGCAGAGCAGTGAGGGCAGAAGGTCTTGGAATTGTCTCATCCGTAGGGTCACCATGAGTTGAGATTGACTCGAGGACAGTTAACAACAAAAATATGGGAAGAGGATATCCCATGGTTAACCTGGACTATTATTTTAAAGCACTGGATGGAGATATAAATAGTTCTGAAGCAGCCTTCAAAAACCTGTTTGTTTCTTGAGCCATGGCCCTCTTCTTTACATGACACTCCGTTAATGGCCTCTCCATGTCCCAGCCCCATGTCTTGCAAGCTTGGTCTCTCTTCTGGCAAAATGCAAACATCCTTTTAGAATGAAAGCATGTAAATTAAACATATTCATCTTAGAGAAGCATATTTGAATACCTTTGAGTGACCAACATGATTTGAATCTGCTTTTTTTATTATTAGCATACAGTGTAAATATATCTTAACTTTTACATGTCTGGTAGATGTGGTTGGATCCTTGCGTTCAGGGCACAAGCCTGATTAAATGCGCACTTTTTCATATACGTGCACCATCCTCCATCTTGTTGTCCCTGATTGCATTTTTAGAAAGTAATCTGTGGTCTCATTCTTGTGATATTATTTGTGCCCAGTCACTAGGTGATGCTATAGCTCTCTTTGCATATCTGCTGCATTTAGTCGTCAGACAAAGAGCAAAACCTGATTTGAAAAACAGCCCATCCTTTATCTCATGTCTATTGTTGAGAGGGATAGAACCTGGAAAAGCTTCTGTTTTTGACTTTTTTTGGGGGGGGATGTTTCTTGGTGTTTTTCTCCTAAAATGTAGCTTTCCAAAGCTCAGGGCTGGGCCAGTTCTGAGGCTGCAGTTACTTTATACACTCACTAAAGAAAGACATAATTCCTATGAGAGGATCTTCAGTAAATAAATGAATTATGTCAAGTAAATGGCACCTCTGATATCAGCTACTGTCAGTTGTTGTGTGCCTTCAAGTCATTTCTCATTTATGACAAGCCTAAGGCGAACCTGTTGTGGGGTTTTCCTGGCAAGATTTGTTTGGAAGGGGTTTGCCTTTGTCTCCCACTGAAGCTGAGAAAATGTGACTTGTGGGTTTCCATGGCTGGGCAGGGATTCGAACCCTGGTCTCCTAGAGTCCTAGTCCAATGTGCAAACCACCACACGATGCTGGCTCTCCCTCTGAATACTACATAAGGGTTATTGGAATGCTCAGTTCACACACACATAACTTACAGCAGTTATTGAAGGTGATTGTGTCAAGTGGTGGGATTAGACAAATAAAGTCCTGCATGAGAAACATGAGGGCATCTAGAAGGCACCCACATTTGATGTCACAGCATTGGGACAGGAGGAGGTCCTCATGTTTGTGCCAGTGGTGGGATAAGTAGAAAACCTCACAGCCTTCTAGCCATTTCTGATTTTGTTTGCTTATTTGGCATTTTTTGGCAGTCTGTGCAGCTCCTAGATCCATCATGGTGGCCCCACCTTGTTCTCAAGGCCTTTTTTAACCATTTGCTGCTGGTGTGGATCTTTTGTCTCTAAATGTTTTTTTCCCCCCTGTAGGCTCAGCTGCGGGCCTTCATCCCTGAAATGCTGAAGTACTCCACAGGTCGTGGGAAGCCAGGCTGGGGAAAGGAGAGCTGCAAACCCGTGTGGTGGCCTGAAGACATTCCCTGGGCCAATGTTCGCAGTGATGTCCGGACCGAGGAGCAGAAGCAGAGGGTGTGTGTTGAGTGCCCTCTTGCTTCTGCAAAGGGCTCTTCCTTGGTATGGCATTTGGAGAGGCTTGGCTTATAGATCTATCTTGGGGAGTTTGTTAAGTGGTTATCACAAATTGTATGGAACAGGTAAGAGCATGAGAGAAATGCCATCCTGCCTCTGGTGTGTGTGGCTCAGCTCTCTGTCTCCGCTGGGTACTCCAGGAGTTTCCAAACAAAAGCATTTATGGCACTGGCCCTCTGCTTTGCTCAAGAGCCATGCTATTGTTGAATGCAAAGGTCATGTTCTTGGTCATATTGCTTTGCAGCCATTAACAATCTGTCTTCCATGAATGTATGTGCTTTTTAATCCATTTTTATGCTAGTGGCCATCAGAACAACCTGTCACCGGTGGTGTCAGTAGGGGGTGCAGGGAGTGTGACACCCGAGAACAGGGGTGACATCTGGTCAGGCCCTCCTCCCGCTAAAGAGTGAGGAGGGACAAGCATTCCCCTCTCAGTTTTGTCATGGCAGTGGTGGAAAAGGCCAAGTGCACCCCTCCTGGCTCTGCAGTGAAGTGGAAGATATTTTTGAAAATAGTCCAAAATCTTGAAAAACTCCAAAACTCTTCTGATCCAAGCATTTTGGATAAGGGAGACTCAACCTGTATCAATCATCTATTGGCTCATCTTCCTGCAGTAGTTTACAACAAATAATTTTTTAAAAAAAACATTGGCTATAAAAAGAGAAAAAAACATTTTAAAAGAGGCTAAACATTTTTAAAGTATTTTAAAAACCATACACAGCTAAAACAGCTGATGCAGCCAGTGGTGATTTTTATGATGTGAAGGCATTATGAAATAAATATTCATGAAGAAATATATGAAATACATACAGTCATTTGTGTTTTTTAAGTTGGTCTCATTAAAAGTACATATAGAGTCTCCCTTACCCAAAATGCTTGAGACCAGAAGTGTTTTGGATTTTGGTTTTTTTCAGATTTTAGAATATTTGCATATACATAATGAGATACCTTGGAGATGGTTTTTACGTTTCATATATACCTTATACACAAACCCTGAAGGTAATTTAAACACAATGTTTTAAAATAATTTTGTTCATCAAACAAACTTTGTGTACATTGAACCATCAGAAAGCAAAGGTGTCACTCTTTCAGCCACCCACATGGACCATTTTGGATTTTGGAATATTTTGAATTTCGGAATTACAGATAAGAGGGACTCAACCTGTATTTCCATGATGTGGATTTTGAAATTTATTTTATGGGTAGCATAGCTTGCTCTGGTTTTTGTAAAATAATATTAATCCAGTGGCAGTAAGATAACACAAGATTGAAAACCAGTTTAGAGGGACTGTACCATGAATGCGTTTACTGAAAGGGAGCTATTTGCACTGCTTATCTGAATGTGGACAATGAAGGAGCCAGAGAAATTCCATTTGGGAGGCTAGTTGACATTTTGTCCAATAATTCATTTAACCACAACTCTACATCTGTTCCTCATGGCAGGAAGCTGTAGATAACTAGTTACCTATTCACTGTGCTAATTTGCCACTTGGCAAATTATTGTATACCTCACCCAACTTGGTGCCTTCCATTGTATGTTGGACTATGATTCCCATTGTCTTCAGCTAGCCAACCCTACAATCATGCTGCTTTGGAAGTTTTAGTCCAAAACATGTGCAAGAGCCTAGCTTGGAGAAAACTGATTTGTGTCCACTTTAGGATGCTGATGTTCTTAAGTAAATCTGAACTGTCAAAACTGAATCTTCCAAAACATAATTTTTGAAGGGATGATCTTCAATAGGAACTTGCTAAGGGTTTAGCCTGTTTACAGGCTTCTGAATCTACCACAACGTCTGTTTGCAAACTCTTGGGCAAACTGATGGTCCAGGTCTGGCCATTGGTCATAACTGGGCTGTTTTTGAAGAGTGGCAAATAAATTCTGTATAAAGTATATCTCCAAGCAGAATATCTCATTGTCCTCCATAATTCTACCTTACTTTGTAATTCAGTGAAGTTTCATGATACTTCATAATCTAATGAACCATACAGGTAATATGAAAACAATCTCAGATAACAGAAAGAGAACAGATAAAATTTGTACATACTTTTAAAAAATTAAAAAAAAAACTTTGTTTGGTGCCTAAAATTCATCAAGTTGGGCTTCAAGTGAATCTTTTGTGGGAAAGTTTTCCAACGTTGGGATGCCACAACCCAAAAGGTCCTGTTTTTGAGAGACAGCTGCCTAATCTCCAAGGGTAAAGGCAACTGGAGGGTGACTTTTTTTTTTAAAACTGACCACGTTCATGGATGTACTAGAAGTCTTTTACCTATCTAGACTTTTAAACTTTAAGACCAAAAATTTGTGTATTCTAGTCAAGCAAGGCAATCTGCACAAAATTGCCTCTGGTCTGTATTTTTTGGGTGAAAGCTGTGAAGGTCACTCTTGAATATACTCTTCTACAGAACCTCAAACTGAGAAAGGGGGGTTGCAGACTGCCAGAAATAGTGCAAATTGAGTCCACTTTTAGGGTTAGGGTTAGTGCTAGGGAATCATGGGAATTGTTTTTTCTCTGAGACATTGAGTCTTCTCTGTCAGAGAGTTCTGGTGCCACAATAAAATACAGTTCCCATGATTCCTTTAGCCTAACCCTAACCCTAAAAGTGGACTCAATTTGCACTATTTCTGGCAGTCTGCAACCCCCCAAAGTCACACTTTTATCTCAGAAGAAATCTGTATTCCTGATTTTATTCTCACAATTACAATGAAGACTAGAATCCCTAACTCACGGTTATAAACCGAAAAGGTGTGGAAGCGTCTTCCCTGTTGCCATTTTCAGGGTAGAAGATTCATTGGTTCATGCACAAATGTTTTTGGAGGGTTCATCAATGTCAATGGATGTGCTTTGATAGAATCAGTGCTTTTAAAAATCTTTGTTGTTATGTGTCTTCAAGTTCTCTTATAATTACCCTATTCTTCTTTTTTCTTTTTATCTTCTTCTCCTTCTTCTTGTTGTTGTTATGCTTTATTTATATAACGCTGTAGATTTACACAGTGCTGTACATACAATCAATAAAATAGATAAAAAATAGATAAAGATAAGCCTGCCAATGGTGTACATTCTACAAAATAATAAAATACATATTAATACATATAATGTTGTTATATCCTACTTTTCCCCCCAGGATTGGGATTCAAAGCCACTCACAATTTAAAAGAACGATGCAATTAAAAACATACAAAAAAGAGAGCATTAAAATAGAACTAAACTATTATTTTTATTATGAATCTATTTTATTTACTTTATTTGTATGCCGACTTTCTCCCAGGTGGGGACCCAAGGCAGCTTCCATAACAAACTATTACAGTATTAAAACAAGCCAACTTTGATAAAAGAGTAAAATACAATTTAAAAGATGAAAAAGCCCTTCAAAACTTTGTATTTTAAAAGCCTACCTGAATAACAAGGTTTTATCCTGCTGATGGAAGGACAACAAGGAGGAGGCCATTCTTGCCTCCCTGGGAAGGTAGTTCTGGAATCTGAGGGTAGCCACCGAGAAGACCCTTTTTTGCATCCTCACCAAGCATGCTTATGATAGTAATGGGACTGAGAGATCTCAGAGCCTGGTCCAACTCATACAAGGAGATACAGTCTGCCAAATAGCTTGGACCTGAGCTGTATAGCGCTTATAGGTCATGAATTGTGCCCAGAAGCAAACTGGCAGCCAGTGGAGCTGCTTCAACTGGGGCATTGTGTGGTCTTTGTAACCTGCCTCAGCTAACAATCTAGCTGCAGTCCTTTGGACCAGCTGAAGTTTTCAAGCACTCTTCAAAGGCAGCCCCAAGTAAAGTGTTTCAGTTGTCCAAACAGGATGTAAATAAGGCATGTACCACTATGGCCAGATCTGGCATCTCAAGGAATGAGTTCAGTTAGTGCACAAGCACTAAATGTGCAAAAGCACTACTGGCCACCGCAGAAAAAAATTACTCCTCCCCCCCCCCCCAAGATTTCCTCTAAGGAGGTTTGCCATTGCCTTCCTCTTAGGCTGACAGAGTGTGTCTTGGCCAAGGTCACCCAGAGGGTTTCCACAGCTCATTGGGGATTTGAATCCTGGTCTGTCGGAGTCTCAGTCTGACACTCAGAGTACTACGCCACACTGGTTCTCAGTGGTTTGTTATTGTTGTGTTCATTCAAGTCAACTCTGACTTATGGCTACTCTGTCCTGGGATTTTCTTGGCCAAATTTCTTCAAAGGTTTGCCATTGCCTTCCCCTGTGTTTGAGAGAGTGTGACTTGCCCAAATCTTTATTGAGTAAAATTCATCCTGAGTGCTGTCTCTTGCTTTAGGGATGTCACAAAGGTTGAATATTTTTGTTTTGCTGTTGCTTTTGCTACTGCTTTTTATGTTAGTTTTAACTAGAGGTGAAATTCTTGACTTAACTCTCTTTTCTA